CATAAAGAGATAGACAGTCTAAAAAAAAGAATCAAACAGAACTTCTGGAGATAAAGAACAGCATACAGGAAAGCAGGACCTCCCCGAATTTAACACAATCCTGATCACATTACTAGAGATATTCTTTTTTTTTTTTTTTTTTTTGAGAGATTTTTTTTTGCTATAGGGCATGTGCGCTTGCCAGAGAGAGACAGAGAGACAGAGACAGAAAGCGAGAAATCACCCCCAAAGGGGGTATGGCCACGCCGCAATCTCTTCTCCTCCATTCTCCTCTCGGGATCTTGGGCACACACGCACACACGCCCAGCGTGAGTTTTTTAAGCCACCGGGTCCAGGACACGAACCACAGTCGACTATGTGGGAGTCCAGCAACATAGCCATTACACTAACTGCTGGTCCCGAGATATTCTTCATATAAATAGAAAAAACAACCACAAAAATTGTCTGGAATCATAAAAAGCCCTGAATTATCAAAGTAATACTGTGCAAAAAGAATAAGGTATGAGGCATCTCGCTTCCTAACCCCAAAATATATTACAAAACTGTGATCATCAAAACAGGCACATATACCAATGGAACAGAATAAAGACCCAGAAATAAACTCAAAAACATAGAGCCAACTGATTTTCAACGAAGGGTACAAGACAATCCAGTGGAGAAAAGAAAACCTCTTCACTAAATGGTGAAGCTTGAAAAGCTGGATATCCACCTGCAGAAAAATGAACCCCTATCTCTCACCATTAACAAAAATCAACTCGAAACGGATCCATCATCTAAAGGTAAAAACCTCAAACTATAAAACTACTTGTGGAAAACACAGGGGAAACTCTTAAAGACATCAAAGTAGGTAGACTTCTCAAATAAGACCCCCAAAGCACACAAAGATCCCCAAAACAGACAAGCAGGACTATATTAGTCTAAAAACCTTCTGCACAGCCAAAGGAAAAATAGAGTGAAGAGACAACCATTAGAATGGGAGAATACATTCATAAACTATGCCACTGATAAGGGTCTGATAATCAGACTATACAAGGAACTCAAGCAGCTTACCCACAAAAAAGTAAGCAATGCAATTAAAAGATAGATAAATAAACTGAACTGACAAATTTCCAAGAAAGACATATGAATGGCCAAAAGCATATGAACAAATATTCAACATCTCTTATCTAAGGTAAATGTCATTGTAGCAAACAATTCGCAGGTTCTTCCAAAACCTACAAATAGGGGGCCAGCAGGTGGCATGGTGGTTAAGGCACTAAACTCCCACATGGCTTACCATGGTCCAAGTCCTGGACTGGCAGTTTGAAAAATCATGCTGGGGGATCAGCAAGATTATCCTTCATATGGGAAAAAAAAAAAAAAAGAAACACAAAAACATTCTCAGATAAACAAAACCTGAAGGAATTTACCAACACCAGGCCAGCTCTCTAAGAAGTGCTGAAGGAAGTGCTATACCAGGAAAGCTAAAACCAGACACAAAGAAATGTGAATACAAAAAGCAGCCACAAGAATGGCCAACTTAATGGTAATGACAAGTCCAGAAGGATCAATAATAACATTGACTGTTAACTTTCAGAATTTAAATGAAAAGATCGGACCACAGTAACACTGCAAATTCAATAGAGGAGAGATTAAGTACATGAGACTGAACGGGTGAAATAGAATTTTATGAATTTTGACTAAAACATTACTAATTTTCTTCTATGCTTTGTTTTCCAATTTAAGGGCTTTTGTCTTCTCTTGAACTACTGATAGGTTAATCTATCTACTGTTTGAATTGAATCCTAACGTTTTTCCTCAGTTTAAGTCTTAAGTAAATTTCTCTTAACATTTTTTATTTTGCTCTATTAAAACTAAAACTGCCTTTTTTAATTTAAAAAATGAATTTTAAAAATACCTATTTAATTACTGCAAAGCTATATAGTCCCATCTAGGTGCTACTTTATAGTATGTTCATTCTACTCTCTGAGGTTAATGCCTAAAGTTAGACTTGTGTTCACAGATAAGTATATATCAGCTGTACTTGCTTTTGAAAGTATTTAGATTAATTAAGATATTTAGTGAATCAATAAAATGCAGGGGTGGGGAAGGCATAGAAAGCAACTATAGATACCTAGGGAATCAAGGGGAAAGAAAAACAAAGAAGCAAAATATATAAGAAACAAGAAATAGAAAATTATTTGTTGAGGATAACATATAGGGTAATATTCCTGATTGAGCCAATATACAGAAAATCACACCAGGTATATTTGAAAGCACACCCAAAATCCCAAGAGGTGAATGGAGAAAGACTAAAGTGTGACTATCCATCCCGCCAAGGGGGTGATTTATCACTTTCTCTCTCTCTGTCTCTCCCTATCTCTCTCCAGTGAGTGCACATGCCCCGCGAAAACCTAAAATTTTTTTTATTATTAAAATATATTACTTTTTTTCCTTTTGTGAAATTTTCTGATATCTTTTTCTATGCTTTTATTCCTTTTTAGTTTTTGTGATACTGTGCAGAGAGACCCTACAGCTTACCAGGAAGAGACCAAGAAGAGAAGGTGAGAAAGCACATCCCGGGGGGGTGGGGGTCAAGCCACAATCCCTTCTCTTCCATTCTCCTTTTGAGATTTTGGGCACACCCACATATGCACCCAGCATGTTTCTCAAGACGATGAGTCTGGGACTTGAACTGCACAGTCAACCATGTGGGACTGATGTGCCTTAACCACCACACGACTGGCTGGCCCATGTATCTTTAGCTTGCTGTAATTTATTTTCTATTTAAACAAATATTTAGTTTCATACCTTTTAAGAACTCAGTATGTTGAGGACCTAACCTCCAAAGTGACTGTATTTGCTAACAGGGCCTTTAAAAGAGATAATTAAGGATAAAAGAGGTCTTAATCCGACAGTATTGGTGTCCTTATTAAAAAAAAAAAAAAAAGAAGAAGAAGAAGAAGAAGAAGAAACTAGAGATATCTTTCCTCTCCCCTTCCCATTCTACGTGAACAAGGGAAAGACTAAGTAGTATGTAGAGAGAAAGCAGTCATCTGGAACCCAAGGAGACAGGTCTCCGCAGAAATTAACTGTGCTGGTACCCTGATCTTGGAATTTCTATTTGTTCTCAACTGCCAAATAATACATAGTTACTATATAAAATACAGAAATTTAGAAAAGTATAAAGAAAACAAAAAGGTCATTCATAATCCCACAACCCAGAAGAGCTGCACCTAACATTTGGCATATTTTCTTCCAGACATTACTCAATACAGTAATTTCTTTTTATCCTTACAAGTATGCTGATTTAGGGACCAGCAGTTAGCGTAATGGCTATGTCACTGGACTCCCATGTAGTCGACCACGGTTCGAGTCCTGGACCCGGTGGCTTAAACTCACGCCAGGTGCGTGTGCGTACATGCCCAAGATCCCGAGAGGAGAATGGAGAAGGAATTGCGGCGTGGTCATCCCCCCTGGGGGGTGATTTCTCGCTTTCTGTCTCCCTGTCTCTCTCTGTCTCTCTGGCGAGCACACGTACCCTGTAGCAAAAACCTCTCCAAAAAAAGAAGAAAAAAATAAAAAGTATGCTGATTTAAAAATATATATATAAACTGATTTTGGCCGAAATTTATCTTATATTTGCTTTCCTATGTCAATAAACATTCTCTGTAAATACTCTTTTTAGTACTACACAGTGTTCCTTACTAATGCTCTCCAATAATTTATTTACCAATTCTGTTGTTAGACAACTGGATTCTTTTTTTTTTTCCTATTTTTAACTAACTTACCCTTATTTCATACTTCCTGAAAAAATATAAGGATGAGAACTATAGTCTAAAGAGGCTGTCACTAGATCCCATAGTTGGTTCGGCTGCTAGGTATCACTTGGAATCATCATCAAACCTGGGGGCTGTAAACTCTAAATACTAAACTTTGAATGTCAGCAACTATATGAAACTGAATTTTCAGGTTCCAACCAATGAATTATTTGCATCACAAGGATAAAGGTCTCTTACACAATAGGTTCATCTTAGTATCTTATTAACAAAGTAAAGGCAGGAATATTAGAAGGAGCTACATTCTAGAGATTTATAGGAAGTTGGAAAGAGAGAGGCTGTTTAGGGGGAAGAACTGATTTCACAGGTGAGTCTAAAATAGAGAGTGAACTCCAGGAAGAACGGCAACTACCTCTTAGAGATTAATCCAAATCTATATGGAACCCAGTCATTCATGAAAATTAAGACTATTATTCAGCAAATAGCTTTTTAAACATCTCAAATTGAATACTTACAAAAGATATTTTTTTAGGAAATAAAAATAACAAACTTTCCTTTAAAAAAAAAAAGCATGTTATCCCAATGAAGAAATCTTCCATAAAACAGCAAACATTGGTCAACTTGTAAAACTGCAAGTATTTTGTAGTATTTACTCTTTTCACCAGTAATTCCAATTCTGGGAGTTTATCCTATAGATATATTTCTCATATGCAAAATGATATGTATATGAAATTACTCATTGCAGCATTTTCTTCAATAGTAGAATACTAGAAACCACCTAAATTAACATAAGTGCTTGCCAAATAAATCATAGTATGGTAATAATTTGGAATACTATGCAGATAGAAAAATAAATAAGAGAATTTTTTCTGGACTTTCTGTAGATCTTCAAGAGATACTATTAAGTATAAAAAACAAAGACAGTTTTTATTTTATGTTATTATTTGTGTTAAAGAAAAAAGAAAAAAAGAATACATGCCTTAAAAAGTTATCTGAAAGGATCACTGAATAAATTCCAACAGTAGTTCCCTTTCTGGGTAGGTAGATAAAGGAAGGAATGGTAAAAAAAGGGAGAAAGATGATATATCTTTATAAATGTGTTGATATTTGAACCATGTTACTATACTTCCTTTTAAAAAAAATAAAAAGCATTTAAGAAGTCTAAAATCTGCCAAAGAGCTATGTAGTTAACATAAGGGCTCAGTGGAATTCATCTAACATTGGATGTTAAGAAAGACTTACATTGACTGTAATTCGCTTGACCATGTTCCAGAAGGATGTAGAGCTGAATAACAAGTTGTGGGCAGCCTTCCAGGTAGGTCTCGAATAGCCTGAGCATGCTCAAGTCAGTCACTCTGTCTATAATTTCTTTATGTGGATCAACTTGTTCTTCCATGGCGTTACTAGTTTTGCTGCTATATTTGAAAGCCATATGGTAACCCTTCTTCAAGGCAAACCAATATCTGTAAAGTAAACATGAATGTTCATCTTCAGTTATATATTCTTTATAAACATGTTGATAGGTATAATTTGGAAACAGCAACATGTGTTTTAGTATGGAATGCTTTTTTATTTTTTTATTTAAATTTATTTGTTTACGTTCATTCACTGTACATCATTACAGCATACAAAATGAGATTTTTCCATCCAGAGTACACTGTATATTGTCTCAATCAAGCACATCAACATACATGTTATTGTCAACAAATAATTTTCCATTTCTTGTTTCCTGTATGTTTTGCTTCCCTCATGGAATTCTTCTACACTTTGGCAAATAGATAATGAGAACTGGAAAAGCAACACCAAAAAAAAAAAAAAAAAAAAAACAGGAGAAAATAAATAATAAAGATTTGAGCAGAAATAAATGAAATAGAAAAAAGAACTATACAGAAAATAAATGACACTAAAATCTGGTCCATCGAGAAAATAAAATTGTCACATCATTAGTTTGATTAATCAAAAAGAACAGAGAAAAGAACCAGATAAATTAAATCAGCAATAAAAGAGGCAATATTACAACAGACATAAAAGAAACACAAAAGATCATGAGAGAATATTATGAGTAGTTATATGCCAATAAACAAGAAGATCTAGATTAGATGGACAAATTTCTGGACACATCTAACTTCACAAGATTGAACCAGGAAAAATAGGAAGGCCTGAATAGACCAATAGCAAGCAATGAGATTGAATCAGTAATAGTCTCCCAACAAAGAAAAGCCCAGATCCTAAGGCCTTTACTTGAGATCTTTATAAAACTTTTAAAGAACTAACTCAATTCTCCTCAAACTATTCCTAAAGATCCAAAAGGAAGGAAGCCTCCCAAATTCAATGTATGAAGTCTCCAACATCCTTATCCCCAAAATAGAAAAGGACATCACAAAAAAAATAAAAGTAAAGACCAATATTTCTGAAGAATACAGATGCAAAAATTCTCAACAAGATACTAGCAAATCATATCCAACAACACATTAAATTTTTTTAAATTATATACCATGATCATATAGGCTTTATTTCAGGGATGCAAGGATGGTTCAACAAACGCAAATCAATAAATGTAACACATCACATTAACAGAAGGAAAGATTAAAAACCCACATAATCATATCAATCAATAGAAAAAGCATTTAATTAAAACACAACATCCCTTCATGATTAAGACTCTCAGCAAAATTGGTAAAGAAGGACATTCCTCAACACAATAAGAGCCATCTATGACAAACCCACAGCTAACATTATACTGATTAAGGAAAAGCTTAAAGCTTTTTCCATTAAAAACTGGAACAAGAAAAGGCTGCCCACTTCTCCACTCATGTTCAACACAGTACTAGAAGCCCTAGCCAACACAATCAGATAAGAGAGTAAAATAAAAGGCATTCAAATAGGAAAATAAAAGGTGAAATTATCTCTATTTCCTGATGTTATGATTATATACATAAAAAATCCTGAAGAACCCACAAAAAAAAAAAACTTCTGGAAGTGCTAAATTAATATAGTAAAGTGGCAGAATACAAAATAAACACACAAAAATTTATAGCATTTTTTAAAAAGATTTTTGCTATAAGGAGCATGCACTCACTGGAGAGACAGACAGACAGAAAGCGAGAAATAACCCCCCCCCCCCAGTGGGGACAGCCATGCTGCAATCCCTTTCCCTCTATTCTCTCAGGATTTTGAGCACACACAAACATGCACCTGGCATGAGTTTCAAGAAACTCTCTTCAGCACATGGTGCTGGAAAAATTGGATATCTGCCCAAACCATGGACTCAAACCATGGTCAACTACATGGAAATCCAGAGCCTTAACTACTACACCACCTGCTGACCCTGATAGCATTTTTTTTATACCAACAATGAACAAACTGAAACAGAATTGAAGAAAGTAACCCCATTTGCAATAACCATAAAAACAACAAAATACTTAAGAATAAACCTAATCAAAGAAGTGAAAGACCTCTACAAGGAAAAGTCGTTATGAAAGACTTCATAAAGAAATTGAAAATGATACAAAAAAGTAGAAAAATGTCCCATGTTCCTGGATTGGAAGAATTAATATAGTTAAAATATCAATCCTACTCAAGTTAATCTACTAATTCAATGCAACTCCAATGAAACTACCAGACATATCTCTCACAGAAATAGAAAAAAAAAATTCCTCTGGAATCATAAAAAGCCCCAATATCACTAAAGCAATACTGTGCAAAGGGAATAAAGTAAGAGACATCTACTTCCTGCCCGCAAAATAAAGTACAAAGCTGTGATCATCAAAGCAGCATGATATAGACATCAAAACAGGCATGTAGACCAATGGAACAAAATAGAGATCCCAGAAATAAACCCCAAAACCAACAGCCAACTGTTTTTTTTTACAAAGGGCACAGACAATCCAGTGCGGAAAAGAAACTCTCTTCAGCACATGGTGCTGGAAAAGTTGGATATCTGCCCAAAGAAAAATGAAACTGGAGCCATCTCTCATGGTTAACAAAAATTAACTCAAAATGGGTAAGGGATCTAAATATAAAACCTCAAACTATAAAAACTACTGGTGGAAAACACCTGAGAAACTCTTGGAGACACTAGAGTAGGCAAAGCCTTCTTAAATAAGACCCTCAAAGCACAGGCAATAGTCCCCAAAATAGACAAATGGGACCATATTAGGCTAAAAAGCATCTGTACAGCAAAAGATATAATAGAGAGGATGACCCTCAGAGTGGGAGAATATATTTGCAAACTGTAAGGGACTGATAACCAGAATATACACGGAACTTAAGCAGCTTAGCCACAGAAAAATTATCAATCCAATTAAAAGATGGATAAATGAGATGAACAGACAACTCTCTAAGGAAGACATACGAATGGCCAAAAAGTGTATGAAAACACGTTCAACATTTCTTATCATCAGGAAACTACAAATCAAAACCACAATGAGATATCACTTAACTACAGTCAGAATGGCTAAAATTTTAAAAAGAAAGAATGATAAATGCTGGTGAGGCTGTGGTGAAAAGGAACCCTCCTATACTGTTGGTGGAAATGTAAATTAGTACAACCACTGTGAAGAATGAAGTGCTGGTTCCTCGGAAATGTACAAATAGAACTGCCATATGACCCATATGACTCCTCTTAGGTATTAGTAATTCCTCTGAAAATCCTCAGTCAGAATAACACTTGGACAGCCATGTGTTGTAGCATTATTTACAATTGCTAGGACATGGAATCAACTCAAAGAACAATCAACAATAAGAACGGAAGAGAGGATTGGAAATACGTGGGACATGAAATATATGGAATACTACTCAGCCATAAAAAAATCAATGAGACCCCGACATTTGATAGAAAGTGGACAAATATGGAAGATTTAATGTTAAGTGAAGCAAGCCAAACAATGAAAGACAGGCATTATATGTCCCCACCTAATATACACCAAATGTTTGTGCTATATAGCAGAAACTAAGAGATTGAATGTATAATAGCAGAGAGGGCAATGCTAGACACAAGAGACAATATAAGGCGGGGGGCGAATAGGAGGAGGGTAATAGGGGATGGGAGGGAGGGGATCAAGCAAAAAAACGGACATTTAATAGACACAAAAATGAAAAGCTATCTGTTGATGATAATGTATGTGGTAATGTCTTTGACTTGACTAATAGACACTGTATACATGCTAGGAAAAAAATGTTGAACACTATAAAGATACAGTGATTAAATGTAAAATAAATAGATAAATAAAGTGGGGGGAAAAGAACCTTTCTACACTTTTTCTACTACAGATTTCTTTCAATTTTGTAAACATCTCATGATAGCTTTACTGAGATTAAGACTTCATAAACGTTTTTAAACATTTTTTATCTAATTTTATTTATCATTATTATTTTTCAATTTGCTGCAGGCTATGTGTGCTCACCAGAGACAGACAGCTGGGTGAATGGGGGCAAGGCAGGGGGGCTAGTGAAAAAGCAAGCCACCAGGTCTGGGACTTGAACCATAATCAGCCATCTAGGAGTCCAGCACTTTAATCACCACATCTCCTGCTGGTCCTGAGACTTTTAAAAACTTTTACTGTATTATTGGATATACCAGTCGTATGCTGGTCCTATTAAGCATACATGATCTCATTTCATCTTCACAGTAATAACATGAGCCAATATTATTCCCACTTCACAGATGGGAAACCTAAGGCTGAGAAAGGTGATTTGCTGAAAGTTACATAGAAAGTTAGTGGTAGACCTAAAGTCCCAACCCAGATCTTATTCCTAATCTTAACCATTACTTTCTAAAACACAAATGGAAGTTTTCGGTCCTTAAAATTTATCTTAACGACAAAACAGGTATATTCCCTTGAGAATGTCAAGATTGAAGAGACTGAATCTTCTTTCAACTTAATATAGCAAACAATTACATAGCACCTTCAAGGTGCTAGTCTCCGGCATTATCATACTAGGAAATGCACAAAACCTCAAAGACTCTTAAAGCATACCAGACCAGGCTTATCTTTTGAAAGAGTTTTAAAATGACCTTGAGCTATCATTATTCAAGTAAAACAAATAGCAAAAATTGAGGCATTTTATTTCAAAGAAATCTGAGGTTGGCAGTAAGGTAACCAGGATTCTACCTCAAAGCTTATCAAAACTCTTTATATACACCTCAGTTTCCTCATATATAAAATAAAGGCAGTAATATTTATCCTGTTTAAATGTGTTTCCAATGTTTCCCATTTCAGTAAATGATACTAATGTTTACTATGTTGCTCAGATCAAAAACAAGGGAATAATTTTTCAACATTTTTTTCTCATACCATATAAAATTCCTTAGCAAGTTCTCTTGGTTCTAACTTCAAATATATCCAAAATCTGAACACTTCTTACCATGTCCACTGCTACAATCCTAGTTTAAGCAAATCAATTCTCCGGTCTAGATTATTCATTAGCCTCATAAATGGCCTATTTCTACTCTTGCTCCCCA